TCCCTGTCCCCGTCCCCATCCTGTCCCATCTCTGTCCCTTGTCCCCGTCCCTGTCCCCGTCCCTGTCCCTGTCCCCATCCCTGTCCCTGTCCCTGTCACTGTCCCTGTCCCCGTCCCCATCCTGTCCCATCTCTGTCCCTGTCCCTGTCCCCGTCCCTGTCCCTTGTCCCTGTCCCCGTCCCTGTCCCTTGTCCCATGCCGCCACAGGGGCAGGGACAGTCCCAGGCAGATTCTCCCACCCAGGTTCTCCATTCCCATTAATCCCACGGAAGTTCAGCCTTCCCTGGTGCCGTGTCCCCTCTTGTCACCCCCCTCCCCACACAACCTCACACCCCAGGTGCCCCCCGGTGCCCCCAGGTGCCCGCGTGTCCCTTGTCACCTCCAGAAGGCCGCGTAGATCACCAGCAGGGTCAGCAGGGCCATGCAGGACACGGCACAGCCGATCATCAGCGGCACCGACGGCGTCCCCGAGGGGTCCATGGCCTGGGGGGACACCGGGGGGGACAGGCTGAGCCCCCTGCCAGCCCCCTGCCCCCTCAACCCCCTCCCTGGGGACCCCCGGGTGCCCGAAGGGGTGGGTGGCAGTGGTGGCACAGCCCAAGGGGACTCCACGCCCACAGGGGACGCGGGTGGAATAGCAACGGGGTGCCCCCTCCCCTCCTGGCACCCTGTATGGAGCTCTGGGGACCACGGCAGCTCCTGCCCGCACAAACCCACCCTGCCGGGGGTGCTGGGGATGCTGGGGGTGCTGGGACCCTTCCCCTGGCTGCTGGGGGACACCCCCACCCTCCGGTGCCCACCTCGTCCTAGCAGGAAACGCTCCGTGCCCATCCCCACCCTCCCTCGGGACCGCCCCCACCCCGGCCGGGGGTCACCCCTCAGCCACACGGCGTGTCCCCAGCGGGCTGCTGGCTGTCCCCAGCCTGTCCCCTACCAGGTCTCGGGGCAGCTGGGCGAGCACGGCGAAGGTGGCGAGCTGGCGGCACTGGCACTTGGTGTGCGCCGGGAGGGTCTCCAGGGTTTGGCAGCTCTCCGTGTCCCAGTTTCCCAAGCCAGCATCCCTGATTAATGGGAAGAGAGCGAGGGAGAGCAATTTGAAATGATCAAACACCACGCGCAGCCCCTCCGGAGTTTGTTAACCCCTTCCTGGCCTTGCTAAGAAGGGCACTGCCAGGGGAGCCCCCTGAGCTCGGGGAGGGGGTGAAGCCATCCCTGTCCCTGGGATGATCCAGCAGAAAGGCTTCGGGTTTAATCATCCCACGGAGATTTGGAGGGGAAGAAACATCACAGAGAGGGGCAGGGCAGTGCCAGGAACAGCCCCAAGAGCCCCCTGGCACCTGTGTCCCCTCCCAGGGGGGCGATGATTCCCTCTCTCCATGGGGACCTCTCCCACCATGGGGACCCTCCATTTTGGGGACCCCTCTGCTTTTGGGACCTCTCCTGCACTTGGGGACCCTTCTGCCATGGGGACTCTCCTGTTAGAAGGATCTCTGCACCGTGGAGACCCCTCTTTTTATGGGGACCCACCCCCTTGGGGACCCTCCTGCCATGGGGACCCCCCCAGTGAGGAGGCAGAGAGGGGGGTGGCACTGCCATGCTCAGGAAGAGCATCCACAGCTCCCAGCACGTCAGGAAAACCGGGAACTGGGTCTGTGGGACAGCTGCGGACTGTCCCTGGGGCTGGGTTGGGACCTGCCACGCTCATCACAGCCAGCACCTCCCCAGCGGTCCGGGGGATGAGGTGGAACCAGGGACCCCGAGCTGTGGCGCTCCCGTGGCTACCTGGGCAGGGGGCTGGCAGTGCCAGCCCGCAGCGCTGCCCGCCCCCCTTCCTGCCCTACTTTCCCTCATTCCTGCCAGCTCGAACAAATCACATCTGGCAGCCTGGCGCGGGCGGCCCCGCGGCCACATCGATCCCGTGGGAGCTCAGTTCACCCGTGCCAGTGGGGCTGGGATGCGGGAAGGGATGGCCCCGGCTCCTCGTCCTTGTTCCCACCCCTGTTCCCATCCCTGCTCCAATCCCTGCTCCAATCCCTGTTCCCATCCCTGCTCCAATCCCTGCTCCAATCCCTGTTCCCATCCCTGCTCCAATCCCTGCTCCCATCCCAGTGCTCCCATCCCTGTTCCCCTTTCTCTGCTCCTATCCCTGCTCCCCATTCCTGTTCCCTGTTCCTATTCCCATCCCTGTTCCCATCCCTGCTCCCATCCCTGTTCCCATCCCAGTGCTCCCATCCCTGTTCCCCTTTCTCTGCTCCTAATCCTGATCCCCATTCCTGTTCCCTGTTCCCATTCCCCATCCCTGTTCCCTGCCTCTGCTCCAATCCCTGTTCCCATCTCTGCTCCAATTCCTGCTCCCATCCCTGTTCCCTGTCCCTGTCCCCATCCCTGTCCCTGTTCCCTGTTCCCTGTTCCCTGTTCCCTGTTCCCTGTTCCCTGTTCCCTGTCCCCATCCCTGTTCCTGTCCCCATCCCTGTCCCCTGTCCCTGTTCCCTGTTCCAATCTCTGCTCCCTGTCCCCATCCCTGTTCCCTATCCCTGTTCCAATCCCTGCTCCCTGTCCCCGTCCCTGCTCCCCTCCCTCCCAGCAGCCCCCTGGCACTGCCAGCCCCACCCTGTCCCCAGCGTGTCCCCAGCGTGTCCCCAGCGTGTCCCCAGCGTGTCCCCGTGCCCCTCACTCACGTCCTCGAGTAGTCCCAGGTGACACACTGCGGGTGGGACGTGCCCTGCGGACACAGGGACAGGTTAGAGCTGCCCCCAGCCCTGTCCCCACCCCTCGGGGCCATGTGGCCCTTGGGGACATTCCCCGGCTGTCTCAGGGCTGGCACGTTCCCACCGTGGGCACAGGGACGCGCCACGAACTGGGAGCTGCTGTGTCACCTCAGTGCCTGCAGGTGACAGGGACCCTGGTGGCACTGGGAGGGGACACAGTGAGGGGACAGCAGGGTGGCACACGGATGGCGTGGGCGGGGAAGGGGACACTCGTGGTGGCGATGATGACATGGGAGGGTTGATGATGAGGAAGGACAACGCCACGGGAGGGGACAGCCACCATGACAATGTGGGACAGGGGACACTCCCAGTGACACTCAGTGATGATGAGGGACACGAACAGTCACGGTGATGTGGAAAGGGGGACACGGGGGGACAAACACTGGTGACACTGGAGGGGGACACTGACGTTGATGTCGTGGGAGGAGGCACGCTGGTGACGGTGACGTGGGAGGGGACATTCACGGTGACACGGGAGAGGGACACTCACACTGGTGCCATGGGTAGGGGGACACTCACGTTGGTGACATGGGAAGGGACATTCCCGATGCCAGGGGAGGTGACACTCACGTTGGTGACATGGGAGGGGACATTTTTGGTGCCAGGGGAGGGGACACACATTGATGACATGGGAGGAGACATTCCCAATGCCAGGGGAGGGGACACTCATTGATAACGTGGAAGGGACATTTTTGGTGCCAGGGGAGGGGACACTCACTTTGATGACATGGGAAGGGACATTCCCGGTGCCAGGGGAGGTGACACTCACGTTGGTGACATGGGAGGGGACATTCCCGGTGCCAAGGGAGGGGACACTCATTGATAACATGGGAAGGGACATTCTCGATGCCAGGGGAGGGGACACTCACGTTAGTGACATGGGAAGGGACATTCCCGATGCCAGGGGAGGGGACACTCATTGATAACATGGAAGGGACATTTTTGGTGCCAGGGGAGGGGACACTCACTTTGGTGACGTGGGAAGGGGCATTCCCGATGCCAGGGGAGGTGACACTCACGTTGGTGACATGGGAGGGGACATTCCCGATGCCAGGGGAGGGGACACTCACGTTGATGATGTGGGACAGCTCCACCAGCACCAGCGGCTCGGCGGGCCGGGTCGGCGGGCGCACCGTCACCGTCAGCACCTTGGAGGTGACGGCCAGGGGGCTCCTGCGGGAAGGGACACGGGCTGTGACAGGCCGGGGGACAGCGGGGGACACCGCGGTGGCGGTGCCACTCACCTGGGCGGCGGCAGGATGAGCCCCAGCGTGCGGTACAGCACCGCCCCGATGACGAAGTGCGATGATTCCTCGGCTTCTGCGGAGAGAGCCACGGGCTCGGTGACACGCGGGGTGCATGTGGGCACGCCAGATGTGCGCCCAGATGTGCGCTGGCACGCACGCTGGGGTAACCCGCGCACGCCCCGGGGTGCGGCTCGCATGTGGGTGCGTGAATGGGAGCCAGATGTGAGCCCACATCTGCAGCAGGAGTGCCCTTGTGGGCGCCTCCAGATGTGCACGCTCACGTGTGCACACACCAGCCACGCTCCCAGATGTGTGGGCCCACACAGGCGTGCACACCCAGATGTGCAGGGTCACACACGTGTGCATATCTGGATGTGCAGGGTCACACACGCGTGTACGTCCAGATGTTCAGGAGCGCGTTCATGTTCACACCTGTGTGCACATCTGCACGCTCTCCAGGTGTGCCCACTCCCAACGTGCACACCTCCAGATGTGCAGGCACGTGTGCGCTTCCAGATGTGCACCCACGCGTGGATGTTCACACCTGTGTGTGCACACCTGCACGCTCCCAGATGCTCACACTCCCAGCGTTCACACCTCCAGATGTGCAAACACCCTGTCCCAGGCACTCAGGACCTTTCGGGCGGACACACGCCCACCTCCAGCTGTGCCCAGCCTGCCAGATGTGCGCACCCTGCTGCTCACCTGCCGAGGCGAGGCTCAGCACCTCCCTGGGGATGAAGAGCTTGTCCTCGGAGCTGCGGGCCCAGTCCTTCATGCCCCGCCGGCCCTTCATGGGGAAGTTGATGTCGCTGGACACGGCGGACACGGGCTCCCGCTGGATGCTGGTCACTGCCAGGGGACACGGGTGTCACCTCCCCGCTCCCGTGTCCCCCCTCAGGTGTCCCCAGGGCCGCCCCGCCGCTCACCCAGGTTGTCGGTGACAATGAGGGAGCTCTGGAAAGCCTTCAGCGCATTCCCCACCAGGTGGATGAAGTCCTCCACCACCTTCATCAGGTGCACGGAGCCGGGAGAGACCTGCGGGAGACGGGAGCAGCTCTGCAACCACCGGGATGTGACACCCCACACTGGGGACACCACCTTGGTGATGGGGACACCCCCTTGCTGATGAGGACATCCCCTTGGTGATGGGGACACCACGTTGGTGATAGGAACACCCCCTTGGTGATGGGGACACCTCATTGGTGTTGGGGGACACCTCGTTGGTGATGGGGACACTCCATTGGTGATGAGGACACCCCCTTGGTGATTGGGACATCCCCTTGGTGATGAGGATACCCTGTTGGTAACCAGGACACCCCCTTGGTGATTGGGACACGCACTTGGTGATGGGGACACTTCCTTGGTGATGGGGACACCCTGTTGGTGATGGGGACATCCCCTTGGTGATTAGGACATCCCCTTGGTGAAGGGGACACCCCCTTGGTGATGGGGACACTTCCTTGGTGATGGGGACACCTCGTTGGTGATGGGGACACCCCCTTGGTGATGGGGACACCACCTTGGTGATGAGGACATCCCCTTGGTGATGGGGACACTTCCTTGGTGATGGGGACACCTCGTTGGTGATGGGGACACCCCCATGGTGATGCGGATGCCCCGTTGGTGATGAGGACACCTCATTGGTGATGGGGACACCCCCTTGGTGACCAGGACACCCCCTTGGTGACCAGGATACCCACTTGGTGATGGGGACATCCCCTTGGTGATGAGGACACCTCCTTGGTGATGGGGACGTCCCCTTGGTGATGGGGACAACCCCTTGGTGATGGGGACACCCCCATGGTGACAAGGACACCCCCATGGTGACAAGGACATCGCGGCTGCCACCGCCACCACTGTGCCACCCACCTGCTGGGCGTCCTCCCACTTGTCGCGGTTCTCCGCGTCCACCATGTAGCTCACCACCTGGAAGAAGCGCTGCGGGGACGGGGCTCAGCGGGGCTGGTGGCAGGCCGAGCCACCGGCACCTGTCCCGGGGAGGGGACCCTCGCTGTCCCCCTGGCCGCTACCTGCACGTCCTCGGAGGACGGGATGTAGGTGGCCCTCTTGAAGGTGTCGGTGACGTTGCGCAGGATGTCCACGGAGAAGAGCAGGTCTCCGCTGTAGTAGGTCTTGCGGGCCATGAGCTCCAGCAGGCTCCGCACCACCTGGGACATGCCCTCCCCTGCCAGCACCCGCTGGCCCTTGGCCAGGTGCTCCCGCAGCTGGTA